ATGCTGAAGTCAAGTCACAATTCAATATTTTTGAGCATGTATTGAGAGGTGATAATGCCAATGAATATATGCCAGATTCATTTCAGAATTATATGATTCAACACGAGATTCCTCACCAATTTTCGTGTGTTGATACACCATCTCAAAACAGGATCACTGAGAGAAAGAGCTGGTATTTACTTGAGACAGCTCGAGACTTTTTGCTTCAAACACCAGTCTCTAAGCAATTCTGGGCTAATGCCATTTCTACAGCTTGTTTCTTAATTAATCGTATGCCATCTACAGTACTTGATGGAGATGTTATTTATAGTATTCTTTTTCCAAACAAGTTTTTGTTTCCGGTGCAATATAAGATATTTGATAACATTTATTATGTTCGAGATGTGCGACTTACTGTGACAAAATTGGACTCAAATATCTTGAAGTGTATATTTTTGGGATATTCTCACCTTCAGAAAGGATACAGGTGTTACTCTTCATATCTCAATAAGTATTTGGTATCAACTTATGTGATTTTTTTAGAAAATATACCGTTCTTCTCCTCATCGTCTAAGTTTACAAGTCAAGAGGCGGACGACGAGTGGCTCATACATAGTTCCACACCAGGTGACTTTATTGAGCAAATAGATAAAAATGTTCCTCCAGATGATATGTCTCAAGCTCCACTTGAGCAACTTGATGATAGTGTTCGTGTGCTGCCAAGTAGCACTGCTAATTGTTCATGTTTATTCCATAAAATAACAAACTAATGATACATGTCCTGCACTAGTAGTTTTTGTAAAGGTAAACGTCAGTGCACCATCCCTACGCTAACTTATCCCATTATTAATTTTATATCATATGATTATTTGTCTTCCTTGTCGAGTGCTTTAATTAATTTTATAGATTCAACTTCTATACGCAAGATAGTTCAGAAGGTTTTGAATCACCCTGGTTGGCATAATGCTATGCTTGAGAAGATAAATGCTTTTGATGATAATTATATTTGGAATCTGATAGATTTACCGAAAGAATAAAAGATTGTAGGGTGCAAATGGGTGTTTGTAATTAAAGTGAATCCAGATAGCTCTGTGGCAAGACTTAAAGTTCGATTGGTAGCGAAAGACTATGCTCAGACTTATGAGGTGGACTATTCTAATACATTCTCTCAAGTGACCAAGTTTACTTCTTTCCGTTTATTCATATTTATTCCAGCCTCCCGAGATTGGCTCTTATACCAGGTGAATATTAAAAATGCATTTATTCATGGTCTCTTAGAAGAAGTGTATATGAAGCAATTACCTGAGTTTATTGCTCAGAGGGAGTATAGAAAAATTTGTCATTTGAAAAAATATTTGTATGGTCTGAAACAGAGTCCCCGTGCGTAGTTTGACAAGTTTAATGAGATAGTATGTGAGTTCAGATTGAAGAAGAGTAAGTGTGATCATTCAGTCTTTTATAAACAATCAATAACTGGTATTATACTTCTTGTTGTTTATGTTGATGATATTATGATTACAAGAGATGATCATGCAGGAATATCCTCTCTCAAGTTATTCTTGCATAAGAAGTTCAATACCAAAGATTTAGGACAACCAAAATACTTTTTAGGGGTTGAAATAACAAGAAATAAGAGATTCTATTATCTCAGAAAAAGTATGTACTTGATCTACTTGCAGAAATAAGAAAGTTGGGAGTTAAGCCATGCAATACACCAATAGTAATAAATGTACATCTTATAAAAGATGATGACGATCCCCTTGATGACTCAGAGAAATACAGGCGACTAGTTGAGAAATTAACTTACTTCACTGTAACTCGTCTAGATATAGCATACCTTGTCAGTATTGTTAAGCAGTTTATATTAACACCTACAGTTAAACATTGGGATGTTTTGCAATAGATTTTATGTTACTTAAAAGGTGTCTTGGAGCTCGATATAGTGTTTAGAAATTATATGCATACTCACATCGAATGTTTTACAATGCTGATTGGGATGGATTTAAGATTGATAGGAGGTCTACTACGAGGTATTGTGTTTTTTTTTGTGGGAATCTTATATCATAAAAAAGTAAAAAGCAAACAATTTTATCTTGCTCAAACGTAGAGTCCGAATATAGAGTTATGACACAATTCACATGTGAAATCTTATGGATACATCATTTATTAGATGAAGTGGGTTTGAAGCCCACATCTTTTGCAAAATTCTGGTGCGATAATAAAATTTTCCTTCGTATTAACTCAAATCCTGTGTATAATGAGAGAACCAAACATATCGAGATTGATTATCATTTCATCCGAAAAAAAATTTAGAAAAACTTTATATCTACTAGTTATATAAAAGCAGGAGAACAACTTGGTGATATATTCATAAAACCTCTGAATGGAACTCGGATTGAGTATCTTCGGAATAAGATAGGCATGATTAATATTTACGCTCTAATTTGAGGGGGAGCGTTAGAATATTATAGAATATTTCTTGTACATAATAATATGATTATCTTTCCAAATATATAAACGTAATTAGGAAGAAAATAATTAAAGTAATTTATGTTGGTTATCATATATGAATTCATTTACAAGTATATATATCTCAATTTTCATTTTAACAAAAACACAAGAATTATTCAATATTTTTTCTTTCCTAACCCTTTGCATTTATCAAGAATGTCATTGCATTCAAAAAGAACACCTTCCTCTCTAAGCCTCTGTGAATCTTGCAGTCTTGCAATTTTGAAGCAAATCTCATGCTTCCTTTGCTGTAGCAGCAACCACAACTCGAAGAAAAATCAAATTAGCCAAAGCTTGTTCAGTCAAGAACAAATCCTTGGCATCTTTCTTTATCTTCCCTTTCAACTCATTTTACTGTGTGGCGGTTGACCTTTCTGATTCATCAGATTCAGCAAACTCATTCTCCACCAATTCCTATAAATCTTGAGACTTGAACAACGTGTTCACTCTTTCTAGAATTGCTTACTCAAAGTAAACTGATCTAGAAGTGCCCTGGATTTTTAAACGTGGCTCTGATACGACATGCTGGAGAAAAGAGCAAAACTAGGAGAAAAGAGCAAGTAATCATTCTGTAAAAAAAACAGCGCAACTACATTGACGAAAAAATTACTTTTACCTCTAAATTATAAACATAGCATAAGATAAGAAAATTCCAAAAACATCTCAACTACAAAAGGAATTAAGAAAAAATTATGTAAAGTCTCATAATCAAGTAACTAAGTGAAACCAAGTCAGCCAATAACTAAATTAAATTCTAAAATGAAGACTGGTCAATCGCAAAACTAGTCTTGAACCCAAAAATAAAAAGTTCTTTCAGTATTTATTTCCAAAAATACCATAAAGCAACCACAATCATAAATGCAGTGAACACACTTTTGATGGAAGCTAGCGAGACACTTTGGCCTGATAAAAAAAGACACTGGAAATAATCGCGTAAATTGGGGAAAGAAGCGTGCAATTCATGTGCCTATGACCTGTGGTGCTTGATACAGTGGGGATCAGAATTTGGACCACTAGCGAAGAGGTTGCTGGGGATGGCAACAGTGAATCTATAGGGGATGCTCCAAAAATAGTAGTCTATGGACGTGAACTCATTTGCCTCTCTCCTAGGATTTTGGCATAAAAAATAATTCTATTTTTGTTCCTTTTTTTAGTAAACTAGCTATAATACCATGGTGTGGTAAAATATTGTGATTTTGTTATTTGTTAGGAAATATACCTCTGTATTTATAGGAAATCCTATGACAAGGAAAGGAGAATTAACTAAATATGAAATGCATACTTTTATAAGAATACTAATTGACTATTGAGATCCAAGATCTCTAGTTCTTTGTTTGATGATAATTCTCTATGTATTTTGTTCAAGCTCTTTTTTATCCTACAACATTCCAAGTACTTTGGTTGGAGGGAAAAAGTTTTAGGCAACACTGCCAATTGTTTAATTTCCTTTGGGTATAGGATGGTTTTTGGCTGCTTTTGGGGCATATGGCTTCTTCAGGGGAATTTTCTTTTATCTACATTACAAAGGGACAATCGTGCCATTTTGTATTGTTTCATTCTTGTTGTTTATGTTCTTCAATGTACTTTTTCTTCTTTACTATTTGAACCTAGCTTTTCCTCCCTTTCAACCTTTTTCTATTGCTAATGACATCTTATATATATACATATATGGGTTTAATACACATAGTTGGTCATAAACAAGCATTTACAACTTCCGTTGTCATTCCGAGGGCTTTCCATGTGAGAAAACGTTGTTATTATTAGCTTGAGACCATCTGTTTTCATATTTATGCTGCATTTGCCTTTTGTTAGTCACTCAAGATTGCAAAATAATGACATTGCTCTCCAGCACATTTATATAATTTTATTGACACAAACCATCTTGTAGACGCTTGGTGAGTGAGTTTATCATCTTACAGGCAAATAAAAAAAATGTATGGCAGGCATCTCTGACTTTCTTGGTTTACTGACATATTTGCTATGCAATATTTTGTAAAAGCTGCTTTTCCTTCTAGGATATTGGATGGTTTGGTTTTCTGATTTTGTTCTTACGTGAGTGGTGATTCAAACAGGTTGGAGCAACACCAGACCTGATGGTTGCTTATATTGATTTTTTTCTTGGTGGTGATGAGAAGCATGTGGATATGGTGTCAATTATACAGAAAAGGTTCCCAATGTGCATAATTTTCGGTGGGGATGGAAGCTATATGTCACCATATAATCTTCATACTGATATGTTGTTGACCAATCTACTTGGCCAGGTCTCTTGCTCATACATAATTTTTAGTAATCTGAAATTATTTGACGAATATCTGAAAGAAGTCATGTGTTCTCCCCAGCATGTGCCTGCAACTGTGTGGAACCGTTTGGTTGCTGGTTTAAATGCCCAGTTGAGGACAGTGAGGCATGGATCCATCCGTTCTGCAATTATCCCGGTTATTAATTGGATAAATAGTCATGGAAATCCTCAACTTGAGTTCCATGGCGTTAAACTTGAGCTTGGATGGTTCCAAGCAACAGCTTCCGGCTACTACCAATTAGGTATCTTGGTGGTTGTGGGAGAATATTCTTTCCACAGCATGCATCAGTCTGACTTGTTAGATAGAGGCCATGAGGAATTTCCGAGGTAAATTTACGGTACCTTTGAGAAATTGAGCAGGAGGAAATCTATCTCTCTCATATGAATCTATTTGGTTTCTGTATTTTTAAGCTAAGCAACTAGGAAACCAAATTTTGAGCAGCTCAAGCCAGTATCTGGCATGCATGTAACAGAACAATTAAGAAGATAATGTTTAACATTTGAAATTTGAAAACTCTATCCTTGGAAGTTCCTTTTGGCATTAAGTTGCCTATACTGCCTTATATTGGTAATTATATTTCACCAACATACTTGTGGGCCCTTAAGAGTTTGTAAATCTTAAGTTCCTTGGGTATTGATCTCCAACGGTGGAGATGAAGCAAACCAAACAGCTGCAATAGGGAAAAGTAGGGTTCCACTCATTCATGATCTGAAGTTCGCTGGTGCATTATGTAAATCAGACAGCATTTGGCAACAGAAGTTCGAAATTCAGATGTTAAAATTTGAAATGGATAGTAATTAGTAATAGTTTTAACAATCTATTACTGATGGTTTATCAGGCTGATTTAACAGACTTTGGGTAGATTCTTGGTTTTCTTTAAACAATTTTGTATTGATTTTGATCCACATTCTAGGGCAATTGCTGCAACTTGCAGCAAAAACCTTAAGCAGCCTCAGCAAAGTTGGACATACCCAGTTCACGCCTTGTCTCGTAAAAGGATTACTGGAGGAATAAATGGAGGTCTTATAAATGATGCTACCTTGCGATCGTTGGATTTTAAAAGAGATTTTCTCTTTCCTTTTTCTCTCTTAGTGCACAACACACGACCTGTTGGTCGTCAGGTATCTTAATGATGCTCGTGAGAAATATCTTTTGTAGATATATATTCTTTTTTAATATTGTTTAACTCATAATTTACTTTCTGTGTTTCAGGATACCCTCCTGCTTCTGATAACCATCTTACTTCTCGCAGATCTTTCCATCACTCTTCTTACTTTGCTTCAGTTCTATTGGATTTCACTTGGTGCTTTCCTTGCTGTCTTGCTTATTCTTCCTTTATCCCTCCTCTGTCCCTTTCCCGCTGGTTTGAATGCCTTATTTAGTAGGAAACCTAGAAGAGCCTCACTTACTCGTATTTATGCATTGTGGAACATGACGTCCGTATCAAATATTGTAAGTAAAACAAGTTGAATGGACTTTCCATTGAAATTATTTACATTTTCATGGTGAGGATATGCAGTCTGAAATCTTAAGGAGGTCATGGGATCTCCATCTGCTCTGTTCTGTCATTATGATCTTCATACTGCCTTTTAATGCCATGTTTATTTATGCTATTATGAAAATTTATATCACAAAATTTATTTGAAGTATTTCTAAACTCTGAAGTGAAACATCCTATATGAGCAACACAAATCTAAAATTTAGAAACTAGCCTACAGAACTAACTTTTTACCTTGCATGTCATTGATAGCTCATGGTCATTTTTACTTAATGAAAGTGATTTTTCCCCCTCTAAAAACATTTTCATCTTTTACTGTGATATTATTTTTATGAATAAATGTAGACGTATAGTTGTCTTATATCTGGTTATCTTTTTTTTTTTTATCTTGTTTCTAACAACAATCTGTCTTTTGCACTTTTCTTTGCTATAATTGTTCTTCTGAAAAGGAAATTTGTGGGCAGAATCTACTCTGGTAAAACCTTGAAAGTAAACTTTTTGTATCATTTGGACTTCTGATTGTTGAGGTTCAAATTCTTGGTATTTAATTCTTCTGTTCTTGTAAATTAGCTTTCCTGGTGCTATGTTAAACGGTTAACTTTGTTTTTTGCAGGCCATGGCTTTCATTTGTGGCATGTTGCATTATGGATTTTATTATTTTCAGCCTTCTGAGAAGGCAAATGCTTGGAACAGTAGAAGGTAACTCACTTACTTCTTTGGTAAATCTAGACAAATCAAACTAGTAACTGCATCTAACAAATGCATGTTTAACTTGCACATTCTAATGGAAAGCCATGTTTTAAGTCAATTGCAGACTTACGTCTGGAAATTCTTTCAGTTACTTGTTATAGTATTCTTCCCCTGGAATATTCTCAAAGTTCAGTACCAATTGAAGGATTTGATATCAGTAGCATGAAAATCTACTGAATGAATGGACCAGTTCATTTGTACAAGTTCAAATAACTCGATCATTTTAGACTTCCTCATAATGCTGAATGGCCATTCTAGTGCTCAGCTGCTTGTGTCTAGAACTTCTTTTCTATTGGTGAGAATTCCTAGCAGTGCCCATGATTCAGGTCAGGCTTTTTTTCCCTAATAAGGAATACTAGTCTATTCAAGCCTTGTAAGATCTGTGCCCTGCTCCTATTCCTATACTCTTAGGGAGGTTACTAGTTAAAAAAAATTTTGAGGAACCTAGGGAGGTAATTTCAATTGAATCAGTCTGATAAGAAATTCTGTGAGGAGAGCGTGGCCTGGAACTTTCATTTCATCTATAACCTTTCAGATAGTTAGACCCTTTAATGTATGATTAAAAAAACTTAAAAACAAAACTTAAAGAAATTGTATTAAGAACAAAAACTTGGAGATCTAGGATTTCAACCATCAAACCAATTTAAATATTTGAATAATTAACATAAATGCTCTACTTAATAACTAAGTTAGATATTCTATTTATAGGCACCAAATATATCAAAAATAGGAAATCTAGAAAACCTAATAAATAAATAAAAAGTTAAATAGAAAGAATTAGGAAAATAGAAAATCTAGGAAATAGGAAAATAAATTTTCCTATTTCCCTCTATGTAAAACTTTTCAGAACTTAGAAAAGAAAATTAAATATTCCTGTTCCTTTAGTTAATCTCCCAAAACATTAGTGTTCATTTATTGTTTCTGTCTCATAACTCCTATTATTGAAATATGCCAACCTTAGGAGTTATGCATCATTCTCCCCTTAGTTGGTGAAAACTCGATTTTAAGTTTTGAAATGCTGAAGTAGAAAGAATATCAAAGTTAAAACTTATCTTCTTAAAAATTGAAACTTCAGAACTTGAAATTGTAATGAAAAAACATGAATGCTTCCAAAATCAAGGATTTTAAAAACACAGTGAACCAATTAGGAATTACAAGATTCACAAAAAGAAGAGCAAGCAAACTTTCTTCTTTGCTATTAGGAGCCAAAAAATGTGTAGTAGTACCTTCTATTGGGGTCTCTTTCTTCTTAAGATCAACAAGAACAATGTCATTTTTCAACCTTAAAAACATCATTATTTACAACTAAATTGAGGGATACATTGCTAAAAAACACAACTTGATCAACAAGAATAACAACCTTGTCCACAATCTCTTCTATTATCTCGAATACCTCATTTTTGTGTGTACTTTCAATATCATTATTTATCATTAGATTGCAGCATTTCGATAAGATTTTTCTCACTCACCAATCTCATGTTCTACTTATATTTCAAATATCCGAGATTTTTGTGTAATTGAATATTCAAGATTTTCTCTATATTTTTTTATCTTCATTTTACATAATCAATCTTATCACTTAAATCTTGAATGTTATTTTTATATTCTACAAAACTTTAAATCACCATAAGAAAATAATCACTTAAAATAAGTTGATTTTGGAAACAAAGGAAAATGTTTGGGAATATTCTATAGCCCTTAGCGACCTATTAATTTTTGATTGGAGAAACCGATCCATTGGGATGAACTATTACAGTATAAATGCAACGACAATCAACACAATTTTTAGGAGAAGACTAACGGTAGAAACTTAGGAAAAAATATTTACTTTATTTTTACTATATATTTTAGTGTTACAGGCAACACGTATATATACAAAATTTCTAAGTACAAATAAGCAAAAGTATCATACACGCCCTATTTGCGTATCAAGTTCTTAAGAGTTTTATTGTAAAGTTTTTTAATGAAAATATCTGACACCTAATTGCTAGAAAACATATGATATAAGCATAAGGAGCCATTAACTACTTTCTCTTTTATGAAATAACGATCAATCTCAATGTGTTTCGTCCAGTCACGTTGAGCTGGATTTTGCGCAATACTAATAGCCGTTTTATTATCACAAAACAATGATAGATTTTCTTCTTTAAACAGTTTTAATTTGTTCATTAGTTTTTGTAACTATAATAATTCTCATACACCTTGAATTATTATTTTATATTCTGATTCAGCACTAGAACGGGCAGCTATACTCTGCTTCTTACTTTTTCATGTAACCAAGTTGTCTTCAACCAGTGTACAGTAACTGGTAGTTGACCTTCTATCATCTAGAGATCCAACTCAATTGACATCTGTGAATGGTTCTATCTTAAGGTGACCACTTTTGGAGAGTAGTAAACTTTTTCCTGGTGTAGGCATAATATTTGAAAGACAGCATGTAAATGGGTCTTGCAAGGATCATGCATGTATTGACTTACCAAGTTAACTACATATGTTATATCTAGTCTGGCATGTGAGAGATAAATGAGTATTCTAACCAATTTTCGTATGTTAACTGATGTACCACTACCAGCTTGTAGTTTGTTATTACTTTCAATAGGGGATTCTGCTGGCTTGCAACTGATCATACCAATCTCTTCTAGTAAATTTAGGGTATGCTTTATTTGAGAAATAAAGATTCTTTTATTAGATTTAGTAACCTCAATTCTTAAAAAGTACTACATTTTTGCTAAATCATTGATTTCAAATTCTTGAGTAAAAATTCCCTTCAATCGAGTCATCTCTAGTCACCACAATATCATCTACATAAACAATAAGAAGAGTGATTCTACCCTTATAATGTTTGATGAATAGGGTATTATCAGCATTGCTTTGCTGATATCTGAAAGAAATCATAACTCTTCTGAACCTAATAAACCATATTCTTGAAGACTGCTTTAATTCATACAAGACCTTTAATTTGTAAACCTTCCCTTCTGTTCTTTCATCTTCAAATTTAGATAGAATTTTCATATATACCTCATCCTCTAAGTCCCCATGGAGGAAGACATTTTTTTACATCAAATTAGTGTAAGTCTGGATCAAAATTAGCAGCACAAAACAGTAATATTCTGATTGTGTTCATTTTTGTGACGGATGCAAAGGTTTCTTGATAATCAATTTCATAGGTCTGAGTAAACCCTTTAGCCACTAGTCTAGTTTTGTATCTCTCAATCGATCCATCTGCTTTGTAGTTTACAGTGAACACTTACTTGCAACCAACTATCTTGTTTTCTTGTGGGGTTCAAACAAGCTATCATGTTTCATGTTCTACCAATTTTTTTATTTATTCAGTCATTGCTTCCTTCCATTTGTGATCTAGAACTTTTTTCAAATCCTGTAGAATAGACACAGAGGAAATAGATAAGACAGAAGCTCTATAAGAGGGAGATAGAGAGTTATAGGAAATAAAGTTAGACATAAGATGATTAGTGTAAGTTCTGATTCGTTTTTTAAAAGCAATGGGTTTATGTCATGTTTCCAAGATCAGGATCTTGTTATTGGGCGATTTTTTGGACTTTTCGGTTATAAAATCTGCTTCTTCTCCTTGCTGTGATTCTTTGAGCGATCTATTTTTATAAAAATAGATTATAGCTCATCAAAGGGAATTGTTACCTTGGATCTCGTTAGAGAGAGCTTCAATACTGTGGTTTAAAATAATATTCTGACTTGTTTTATTAATAACAAACATCTCCCTTTATATAAAGGTTACTATTCTTATTTAGATATGTTAATCTAATTTGAAATTTAAATATAATTACAAATACTCTACTAAAATATTAGAAATCCTACATTATTTAAAAATCAAATACTAATGAAAAATATATATATTATTTAGGAATCTAATACTAATTAGGATTCCAACTATTTATAAATTTAATACTAATTAGGATTTCATATTTAATTGAACGATAATTTCCTATTATTGCTGTGTCTTCCATATTTGCATCCATAATATTACTCTCCTCTGGTTTTCAAGCTTGTTTTCAAGTTTGAAATGTGGATATAGTTGTCTCGTTGGTCTTTTCTTGGTATCCAGTATTATATTCAATCTTGAGACAGAATAGCTGTTTACATTAGTGATCTTAAACAAACAGCTCATCATAGTTATAACACAACCCTTTTAGCTTCATTTTTGTCATCTTTTTCTTTGTTAATTTCTTTATAAATGAAGATGAAGCATTACCAAATTGTGTCGTAATGTTGTTGACTTGTGGAGTCGGTATTGTTTAAACCGAATTGTTAAGTTTGGTCACTAATTGAGAATGATCATTATAATTGTGTTCGATCATAGCTCACAATTATTGTTTCCTTTCAAAAACTCTTACCATACTCATTACATGCATAAGAGGGGTGGGTGATTACATCTCCACCTCCAAATGGAGGGAATCCATTAATCCTGCTGTGAACAAACTTACATGTTAATCAACTTGAACAAATCTGTTTGTCCATGCTAATTTTTCTTGAAATTGCTTCTGATACTTCTCAACTGATCTTGTTTGTTTCAAGTTCACCAGCATCCCTTAATGGGTTGCTTTCGGCTAGCGGTCCAAACCTTAGCGAGCAGTATTCCTTGAATCCAACCTAATTGATTGTGGGTTATTTAGATTCTAGCTGATGATACCAAAGTTGCACTTCACCAAGCATGTGGAAGGCAGCCAATCCCGCCTTATCTCTTTCTAGTGTGTGTTGATTGGTAAAGAATTTTTCACACCGATGTAATCGAATCAAAGGATCTTTAGAACAGTCGAAAGTTGGAAAGTCTAATTTAGTATAACGAGGAACAACCACATTACCTGGTATGGTTTGTGCATTGCGAATGACTTCCCATGTGAAACGCTTGGGGCGTTTGTTCTCGCGAGTTATGACTACTGGCAGTTCCTTCCGAAACGGTTCGTATGTTTTGACCAATTCCAGCCAACATCTCTTTGAA